CCTCGCCTCAGCGGGGAGTGGCGGGATGGCCCTGGCGCGCGCAGCCTCCGCCGCGGGCGTGTCTGTGTGTGTCCTGCACTTTGTCTATTACAGCGTGTGCGTGTGTGTGTCCTGCATTGCGTGTACTACCCCACGTGTGTGTCCTGCACCGTGCATATCCACCACACGTGCGTGTGCCTGGGTGTGTCCACTCTTTGTATTGTGTGCGTCTCCTGCACCGTGTCCGCTACACCGTGTGTGAGCATGTCTTGCACTTTGTCTATTACACCGTGTGTGTCTCTTCTGCATTGTGTGTACTACACTACGTGTGTCCTGTGTGCACCACACATGCGCTGTGCATCTGGATGTGTCCACTCTTTGTATTGTGTGCGTCTCCTGCCCTGTGTCTGCTACGCTGTATGCGTGCGCCTGTCTCCTGCATTGTGTGTATGTACGTGTGTGTATGCATGTGTCTCCTGCACCGTGTGTGTCCTCGTGCATCGCACCCATGTGGATATATGCATAAGTTTGTGTGTGTCCACCCTGTGTACCATGTGTACCTCTGTCACCCGCACCGTGTCTCCTATCCTGTGTGTGTTTGTATGTGTGTCTGTCTGTCCTATGCACTGTGTGTGTGTCAATGTGCACACACACATAGCACCCAGCACAGCTGTGTCCTCGTCCCACCACCACCTAGGGCTGCCTTGCCCACATGGCCCCCAAGTGTCCCCCAGGAAACACACTGGCACAGTTTCAGTCTGCAATCTTCCAACTACTTTAATAGAGGAGAGAGATAATGAGGCACAGAGCAGACGCCATGTCCTCGGGCCCTGCTCTGGGGCACATTTGGCCCCTAGACCCATCAAAGACTTGAGTCCCTACTGATGTGAAAGCCTGTGAGCCAGTGCAAACTGAAGCAGTACGCATCCCCTAAGGCATGTGTGCCACAAGCAGCATAGGTGGTGTGTGTGTGTGGCAGGTGGCTGCAGGGGAGGGGGTAGACAAATGGGGCAGGGAGTAGAAAAGTAGAGCAGCAGATCAGGTGGGGAAGACAAGGCTGGGAGTGGAAAGCAAAGCAGCCCCAGAGCAGAAAGCAGAGCAGCAGATCAGGTGGGGAGCACAGGACAGGAGAGTGAAAAGCAGAGCAGAAGATCAGCCCGGGAGCAGAAAGCAGAGCAGTGGATCAGGCAGGGAGCAAAGGGAGGGGGTGAAAAGCAGAGCGGCAGACCAGGCAGTGGAAAGGGATGAGTGTGCCACTCAGGGAATGTGCAGCAAATGTGTGGCCTGCCTGCCAGAAAGATTGGCCCACCCTTGCCTTAAGTCTTAAAATATGCCCCTGCAGTCAGGTGCCTTCCTCTGCAGACTGCCAGTGCACTGAAATCCAACCCTTTGCTCTGGGAGCACAGAGAAGGCTGGCAGGATCATCTCCCAAATTACAGAATCCATTCAGCTCTAGAGCAACATTTCTTTGAAAGCAAACCACCCTTGCTTTGTCCCAGTAACACACCATTCAAATTGAGCATAACATTCTTGTTTTCTTGTCCCAGTGCTGTTCATTTTGGCAGAGTTTCTTCGTAACACCTTTGGATCCTGGTCAGCTTGGAGTCAGTTTTCTATCTGTTTTTTATGCATGAACACAATTCAGCAAGTCTAAGGTTACAAACCCTGTAGAGAGACAACAACATGAAAAGGTAGACTCCTGTGGTTGGGAGGAAGCATACCGCGGGCCCAGCCCTGCTCAGATAATTTCTACTGGCATGCCATGCTCTGAGCATGACTGGAAGAGTGAGGGAAAATACAGCTCAGTTAATTTAAATCTCAGTCAATACTGCTTTTTTAACATAAGAAATGTGGCTGGCAATTACTGATACAGGTCATTTCTGTATTGTTTTAGTAATATACATGTAAACCTTTACATTCATGTGCAAACTTACTCAGGTGGAAAGTCCCTGAAATATCTCAGTAAAGTCACACAAGTTTGGGGCCATAGGCAGAGCTCAGACTCATTCCTCAGCTGCTTCTGTGCAGGTAGAACTGAGTCTTACTACATGTGCTTGCTTCTCTTTTTATTTTTTGGTTGTTTTCTGTTTTATTTTAGGCTGTTCTAGGAAATGACCCTTACTGCAAAGGTTTTGCAAAGCTACAACAAACAAACAAATAATTCATTTAATTAAATTAGGGTTGTTTCATAATGTGGTCAAAACATTGCTTTCTCTGCAGAAGTGGGCAACATCTCCCTGTTTATTTTTGCTCCCTTATTTTCTGTCAGTTGACATTTTCACTGCAGAAATGCCTTGTAGAGTCACTCCAGATTCACAGTAGAGATATCTTTTATTAAACCAACAAGATTTTTGCAAAACAAATTTCTTTAATTGTAAGCTTTTGGGCACAAACACCTTTCCATCAGGCATTGAAGAAAAGATTGTAAAAGTTCTCCTGGGTGGAAATGGAAGTTCATATTTTGTAGGATTTCACAGAGGAGTCAATAGATGGAAAACTCCTCTGGGTGGTCAGTTCATAGCTGGTATAGGGTCTCTCACCTCTTGTGAGGATTTGTGATGAATGATGCAAATTACCTTGAAACAAAGGCAGGAGCAGTGTCTCAGGTTTCAGGTGGTCACAGTTGATTCCTGCTTGGGAAAATATGAAGATTTCATTTCTAGCGTCATTGTAGCTCAGGAAGGAAGCACAGCTTATTCTGTCAAGAGAATTACCTAATTAATCAGTCAGGGGACAGAGGAATTCCCATTGAACCACTGAAGGAGAAGTTAAAAAACCTTAAGCATATGCTTTCCTCCTTGAATTATTTATCTAACAAGAAATTAGACATTCAGGGCCTATTGCAAGACTGTACCTGAAAATCAGAGAGGCAAAATGCAACCTCTGGAAATCTGTAATTCAAAATTAAATTTCTGGCCCTGCAACATGAGGCAAATCCCCCAAGAAAGCATCACACCCAAAGTTACACTAATTTCCCAGGATTAAATATATATATTAGAGGTGGCATTGCTTTCCTATCATAGTGTTTCAACCATTATTGTTATTATTTATTATTTATATTGTGGTAAAATAAAAGGCCCATCAGACAGGGCCTCATTGTGAAAGGATCTTTCCACACAGATTCATAGATTGTAAGTCCAAAAGGGACCTCAGAAGATCATCAAGTCCAGCCCCCTGCACCCAGGAAAGATAGCTGGGGGTCAGATGACCCCAGCAAGAGGTCCAGTCTCCTCTTGAAGATTTCCAGGGTAGGTGATTGCACCACCTGGAGGGAGTTTATTCCACAGTCTGGACACCCTGACTGTGAAGAAGTTTTTCCTAACAAGCCTGAATTGATCTTCCAGGAATTTGTGGCCATTACTCCTGGTTTTCCCCCCTGGTGCTCTGGTGAACAGTTGCTCGCTGAGCCCTTGATGTACTCCGCTAGTGTAGTGGTAAGCTGCTACCAGGTCCCCTCTCAGGCTGAAGAGTCCCATATCCCTCAGCCTTTCCTTGGATGGCTTGCCTTTTAAGACTCTGATCATATGGGTGCCTCGTCTTTGGACTCTCTCAAGCTTGTCCACATCCTTGTTAAAGTGTGGTGCCCACAACTGGATGCAGTACTCCAACTGTGGTCTCACCAGTGCTGAGTAGAGCAGAAGAATCACCTCCTTGGTTTTGCTGGAGATGCATCATGGATGCATGCCAGAGTATTATTTCCCCTCCTGGCTACAGCATTGCACTACTGGCTCATATTCATACTGTGGTCTACTATTACCACCAGGTTCCTTTCATTCATGGTGCTAGTCAGTTTGGTGCCACCAAGCCTGTAGGTGTGTTGGAAGTTGCTCATCCCGAGGTGGAGCACTTTACATTTCTCAATGTTGAACTTGATCAGATTCTGATCTGCCCAATTTGCTAGCCTGTCTAGGTCCACCTGTATCTGTTGCCTATCTTCAAGCGTGACCACGGTCCCCCATAACTTGGTGTAATCCATGAACTTGGTCAGTGAGCTCTTCACCCCCACATCCAAATAGTTAATAAAGATGTTGAAATGTACTGGATGAAGCACTGACCCCTGCGGGACACCGCTGTCCACTTCTTGCCAGGATGACACAGTTCACTATGACTCTGGGTCCTATCCTGCAGCCAGTTTCTCACCCACCTGACTGTCTCAGAGTTCAACCCACAATCCTCCAATTTTCTCATGAGGACATTGTGGGGTACTAGAGATCAAGGATTATGCATGGGTTGTGAACTTTCCTGCTTTGAGGAATACATAATCCACAATCTAAATAGATAGGACAAAGGCAAGGGAATTCTACAGCTGAAGAGCCAAAACAAGAGAAATTAAAGTCTCAGTCATACAAATGGGTGCAGAGGGGTTCATACATACCACTAAGTGAGATTGGGGGGGAGGGGTCAAGTGTTAGATCAGTGATTCTGAGAGTGTTGGGGCACCCTGGGATGCCACAAGATCTTTTGCTTGTTGCCTTCCTTTGAGGTGTAAGGAGAGAAGCAGGTTGAGGAAATAAGTGCAGGCTTTGGCTCTACCCTGCCCCACTGCCTAACCCCTCTGTAAGGAGATACACTGTCATGAATAAATCAGTCTCTGAAATGTGGTGCTGCTCAATTTACAAAGGTTGTGGATGATTGCCTTGAGTCTAAATAGGTTCAGAACCACTGGGCTAGATGTCCAACGTGACCTGGACACTACAATGCTCATGGGGACAGAGAGGTGCTTCACATGGCTCAGGTAGGAAAGCTGAGCAGGGGAGCTGCCTCAGGTAGAAAATGCTGAGGACAGGGTTGTCTCTGAAATCCCACCCCTTTCCAGGGCTTTAGTGCCTTTCTCTGTAAGATAAGCAGTCCTCCAACCTGGGATTCACAGCTCTGAATCCTCCTGAACTTACGTGCCAAGAACCTTTCCTTCAAGGAGCAAGCAGGAATTGGTCCCTTCTTATAGGGAACCGGTGAAGCAGCGAGTGGTCAAAGCCCTCACTCAAGATGTGGAAGACCTGGGTTTCAAGTCCCTCCTTTCCCTGAAGAAATTCAAACCTGTGGCAGAGTGCTCTATACTACATCACTAGCCTAGAGTCATCCACTGATAGGAGGGAGTCTTAGTCCCTCCTATTGCAGCTGTTTTTTTGGCTTCCTCTGGGCCAAAGAAAGCATGAGCACCAGACTGTACAGTTTTGATATTCACCTGAACCTTAGCAAAAATGACCTTCTGAATCCTCTCTAGTATAGTCCCACACAGACACAATTCCAGCTCCCCCAAATACAATACAGAAAATTATATTCACGAGGAATTACAGAAGAAACCACAAACACTGGCATATTTTTGACGGGTTAGGAATAGTGGTAAAAAGAGGTCTTTCTGATTATGAGAAAATGAAGAGTGATCACAGTTTCTCCTTTTTATACAATCCCATCATATAAAGCAAAGGAACCTTGACTACAATTAATAGCAGGTATATGAAAAAATAATAGAAGGGAACATACACATGCAGCATATAATTACTGTGATATTAATTCTAGCACATGCTCATTGAATCAAATTAGGAAGAGCCCTGCTAACTTTATGACCAAGAAGATAAGATTAATCAACTTCCCTGCTGCAGGACACAGTGAAGGAACCAGAAAGGAATTTATCTGTACCTTCCTCTCTTCACAGTTGTTCAGGCACATTTTTGTTGTTATTTTCACATTCCTATGAGGAAGGAGGAATTGGCCACTGGCCCTGGCTCTCCATCAGGCATGATAAACTGAGGCCCGATCTTTTAAGGAAATATTCTATGTTCTTGGCTTAAAAGCTGTGCAAACATGAATATGCAGACTGTGCCTCCCTCATTTCTGTGAGCAAGGAGGGCACTGAAATACAGTCCATCCCTGTGCTGCCTGGCATGCAAAATGCACACATATGAAAAACTCAACAAAGATGACCATTTTCAGGCTTGAAAGAGTGTTTGGCTGTTCAGTGCTGTCAGATAAAAAATGTTAGGTTCCTAAAGTGCAATTTATGGGATCTCTGTAGAAATTTATAGATATTTTGCCAAGGATTTTGTCGAAATACTTATTCAAATTAATGATCTGTCACCAGATATTGTAGATTGTACAAATGTTCATTCTCTTTACTAATCATTAAACTGATTTTTAAACCTGGACTGTGACCAAGAAACATCAGAAACTAAGAACCCCCTCCCTTTTAAACAGCTGCCTTACAAAATACTGCTTAGCAACAGTGGCTGTTAGAACAGAGTGCTAAAAGGAAAAGTGCTAAAACAAGTTTCAACATGTTATGATTTAAAATAGCAGAGTTATAAACTTCTGGAAAATCTCTTCTCATTTCTAAATAAATTCTAAAGCCCCTTAACAAGAGTGGAACAAGTAATATAATCACCAGCTTTATGTTTGAGTTTGGTGCCTTAAAAACATTAAACTAATTAGTTCAAATATGAAAAGATAATAAAAAAGAGATTCTGTTATTTCTTGATATATGGGCTCTAAAAAGATGGTGAGCTGGATCAAATGTCATAATTGAATTAACTCCACTGAAATCAAGGTTACAGTCAGGGTAAATTTGATTCACATACTTTATATCCACCAGTAGGCAACTGTTGATCCTCTGCATCATGGTGTACACATACCGAGCCTAGTCAGATGCCTGATGAATCTATTTGTGGTTGACAAGCCCAATTTGAGAATGACACAACACAGCTTGTTACAAGTTTCACAGATTCATATGTTGTCTGAGTTGGAGTCCAGGTTTACAACATGCTGCTTTCTTTTTTCTCACTTGCCTTCCATCCTCTGGATCAAGGCTGTGTCATGTTGAGCTACACTCAGTGCCAGATGTTCCCTCAATATCAGACAGCACTCCTCTCAGCTTTCTACATCAATGTTGAACAACTTCATATCATTTTTAAACACACTGTGGTACTGCATAGAGGGTGACCCTGCTTTCTAAACCTGTCTTGAATCATATATCTACCATGCCTTAATTAAATATTTAAGTTGTTAAAAACATAGACTTTGTGGATTGTTGTGTTTAAAAGTGATGTTTGGAGCTTGGATTTGCATATGCAGTATGGAGAAAATAATCTACTATATTACTGTAAAATCAGTTTATCATAGTTCTTGCTAAAGCTGGGTTGAGCAAGCCATAGTTTACTTCTGATGCAATTGCCTATAATAGGAGATAACTAGAATTGGTCACCTCATAGGTCCCTTCTAAACTTATGTTCCTCTGTTCTTTTTCTTGGCAAAGATGACCCTGAAAAGATAAACTGATATAAGCCCAATGAGATACAAAGGCACAAGTAGCTAGATTCCACTTCTACAGGAGGTGGTGGAGCAGCCCAAAATCTATCCCTTTCTACACCCACTTAGAAACTTTGATACAGATGCTCTCTGATATCTGGGGCTAAGTACAGACAGTCAAAAAGCCCCGGGCTTTGCAGGATTCTCTATACTGCAATTCAGTTCTTTGCAGTATTCTCTAAGCAACAAAAATTAAACTGAGAAACAGCTAGGTACACATTTACTTCTGATTAAGGAAATGCAGCCACATACCTGCAGTGGCTTAGGCCAGGAGTGGGGGGACACTGGAGCATGGCTCTCTGGCACTTCCTCTTCCTGCTGCCCCAGAGGTCTCTGAGATTTGCAGTCCAGCATCACAGCAGGAGGACTCTGCAGCGTTGCTCATTACTTCCTCTTCCTGCTTCCAGGTGCCTCTGGGAGTTGTAGTCCACAGTCACAGCCAGCAGTAACTTTCAGTAAGTTTAGCAGGGCAGAGCAGCTCTGTACTTGAGGGAAGGGGATTTAACCCCCCTCTCTGGCCCCAGACTCCAGCTAGGGTTTTCCGGGGATCGGGGGGTAGTCCCTGCCTCTCTCTCTCTCTCTCCCCCCCTACCCCCAACCCTTCTCTGCAGGAGCAGACAGCCCAGCCCAGCCCAGCCCAGCCCAAGGCTGGAAGCAAGGCTGGGGGACTCTGATTTCACTTGGACCAGAAATGGGGAAGTGCTCTGCATGGCAGTGTGAGCAAAGGAGAGGTAGGTGTTGAGGAGGAAAGTTCAACATTTGCTTTGCAAATCTGTCCAGAAATGTTGACACATGCCAGATAAAAGATTATGGTCCAGACTAATCTCTAGTCACCATCTCTCTTAAGGACTAGATAGACTACTCATCCTGTGCACAAAACACGCTGTCCTTGGGTCTCATGTTCAAATGAGCAAGGATGCACGCTCATTTACTCTCTTGCTGGGTTGGGCAAGTAGGGAATGAGCAGACAAGATGAATCTTGGTTCCACCCTTCTTCTCTACTCCCTTGCCCTGCACCAAGTCAGCATAGCAGGGTGGGGTAGAAGATTACATGATGGTATTGACTGACAGTAAACTATTCTGTCATCTCTCCTGGGGTAAATGAGAAAGCAAAAACGGAATTCTGTCTCCGAGTCACAATCCCTACAGGGCCTATTTCTGGGGTGGAGCAGTTTATGCATCAGCCTTGGCCCTGGGCTGAGCCTAAAGTCAGGAATGTAGCCCTAAATTACTTGTATTTTAAACACCCTGCAGTGAAATAGGATCCAGCATCCTGTTTCTTAGTTCTGCCTTTGTAATACCAATAGCTTCTGCATCTAAACAAATGGTGATTTCATGCAGCATCCTTTTGACTTTTCTGTAAGACTTCACTTTTTTGAAATCTATATTAATATAGAAGGGCCTGGAGCAAAACTAAAAGGATGCTGGTTTGGTTTTTAATCCAGAGAAGAGGTGTTGCATAGCTAACTTGCTAAAAAATGGGTAGATACGCTTTGTAGCTTTGTTACTTGGTGAACAGAGTAACCACACTACACCACTCACAGTTTCCACAGAATGGAGGTAGAGGCCAAGGCTTCTTTGAAGAGGTTAATAGGGCAGACTCAAGAACCTGCTGTGCTCTTGCACTGTTAATGGCAGAGAAGCTGAGAATGCATAGGAGTGTTGATTCCATTTCTTTCATTTAGCATAAAGTTGCAAAAGATCTACACAACTACAGCCTCCTTTCTATCAGGACAATGGCCAGAAAGACCACAACAGGTAAGAATATTTTTAACACTGTTGGTTCCTATTTGAAATCTCAGAGTTTACCTTGTGAATCATGATTGCATGCCTAAAAGTGCTCACATTGCGTGGCACTCCTCAGCACCCTTGACAGGATCTCAAGGCACCTCAAGGTGCCCTTGCACCGTGGTTGGGAATCACTGATGAAACCAACTCCAGGTTCTTGCTATCAGGATAATATTCATTCTAAGGGAAGAAGAGATCAGATGGTACCTGAAACTTGAACACAGAATCACTTGGTTTGGAACCTGGGGCCTCTACCATGTCATTCAATGAATTCCCTGTGTCAGGTCACAAGTGACTTCATTTTTCCTACAGGGGTGTAGGTTGTAGCCGTGTTGGTCTAGGGACATAGGCAGATGAGGTTCTTTGGGTGAATCTGATATCTTTTATTAGACCAACTTAAATAGTTGGAAAAACAATTATTAAGCAAGCTTTTGGGTTCAAAAACCGTTTGTCAGGCTAAGGAAGTTTC